ATATGTTTTTATACCAAGTCCTTAAAGATGGCGTAGTCGACATAGTCTATACATATATTGTTTTATGTTGTTTATCTCTATGCTTTCGGAAGACCCAATATATCAGCGATATCTAAAACTTTGAAAGTATGTCTGATAGAATTAATCTATCAGGCATACTTTCGATAGAAACACAGTCCAACAAATTGTTAACCCAGAGACCAAAATACATAAATATTATGTAAGGAACAGCTCTAAATCCGAATCTGTCTTAAAAACGTATCCTTAACATTAGGTTTTCCAGATATCGTGTAATAAATGTCGACATGATCTCTGAGGTTTTTCAAACTTCACTATATGATATCTGGAGATCCTGATTTAATGGACAAATCTCTGGGTTTCTTTTCATTTAATTTTTTATCTTGTATAATTAACGGAGATTTGAAAAAAAGACAAATGAAAATATTATGTTTTATTAATATTATCCCCATTAATTTTATACCCCATTTACACATACACGAAATCTAGTAGATTTCATTTAAAATCTTTTTCCAAATCTAGTCCGTTTACACTTACTATTCTTGACATTTAAGAAGATTTCATTTTTTCTAATATTTCTTGAAAAAGTGTGTGATATGAAAAATAAGAAGGAAAAATGGGATATTTATCAAAATTCCATTTAAAATAAAAAAATAGATATTTAAATATAACATTACCTTTTATTTTAGATTAACTTTTCATTCATGTTTTTCAATTTATAAAAATTTTGTCGACATTTTAATTTTGTTTGTTTGTTTTGTTTTCCTCTTTTTTCTTGTGTAGTGTCGTATTTTTTAGTATTATTTAGGAAAAAAACAGAGTTGCATCACTAAAAACTATTAGATTTTGAGTAGATTTTAACGAAATCTAGTTACGAAGTAGATTTTGTTTTGTATGGGAAATCTAGTTAAAATCAAGTAGATTTGGCTCGAAATCTCATAAGTACTAGATTTCGTGTATGTGTAAATGGGGTATTACATGCCTTGAATTGTCACAAAAAAGTCTATTCTTTCATCCTGGGTTTACATGGCTTCTATACAAAATTACCTATTTATTAAATGTAAATTTCTATAAATATTTGACGTCTCAATAAATATATATGACACGATAAACCTTTATGGGCTTATTCGGAAATTGGTTTTGGAGCAATAATCGGGTTTTTGTTGTAAACTATAGCGGTGAACATTAATAAGTATAGGTTAAATTCCAATAAGTAAAAGTTTAATTCCATTGTTTTATACAAGGGTAAAGTTTTTATTTGAATTTCGATTGGAAACATTATCCTCTACTAGTTTTATTTTTTGAATTCTATGACTGGTATAAAAGCTATTTAAGAAATTACTAAATATTACAAAGCATTAAAGGTATTTTCTCGGTAACAAATTTTTTTATTTATACCATATTTGTAGTAAATAATTGTTATGACTTGTATTAAAGCCATTATCTCTGACATCAATTCTAGCGTTGGGACAGATTCTTGAACGTTCTACACAATCAGTAAATTTTTTTTATAGATTTTAAGAAAAACTTGACTTTTTCGGTCCACCATTAAAATGGCTATAAGGATATACTGGAAGTTGGTTATAAACAACTTTGGGATGCGAAAGGGTTATTTTTTTAATTTAATAAATTGACATATACTTCATATATTTTCTTGAGAAATTTGTTTTATGTATTATATTTTGCAATTGAAAATTATGAAATTACATAATAAGGGTTTTCATTTAAACGCTTAAGTTTACCATTTGTGCAAGTGGGCAAGTTTATTCAACTTGTTTCATGAAACCCCTGTTCAAATTCTGTTCAATAACAATATTTATAAACAATTTAAAACAATGTCAAACGAAATCAAAAAATAAAAAATAAATTATTTTAACAAAAAATTATACAAAATATGTTTAAAATGTGAATATTCAAGGCCATAAATTCAAAAGTAAACAATAGTGAACGGAGTTATTAAATGCACAATGAGTTTGCTCAAGTTTGCCGGTCTAAATAGTCGCTCAAACTTATAAGGGTTGTGCAAATAAATTTCCATACAATTCAATTGCGAGAATGGAAACATGCACAGGTTGCACAGTTTACGAGGGTTTTGAACGTTTAAATGAAAATCCTTAATATATTTTGATGTAAAATTGACTTGTATCAAAATTTTTACTTCATAATACAAACCTAAAAAACAAATACAAGTCAGGGAATTTTAATTTCCATTCTCTAAGAATGTTTAGATTTAATTTTTTATTTAGTTTTCTTAGAAATAGTATTCGCTAAAACATTCGCTAAGTTTTTGCGAATGCAAAAGCGAATGTAAAAAAGGAGGCGAATAATTCGAATTCACATATGCGAAAGCGACCATTCGTTACATCCCTAATTATAACGGTATTTGTAATAAAAATGTCAATATATATAATATTTTAGATTAAAATATATTTATATTTTAAATTTTTAAGTTTTTTGATCAATACAGCAATAATTTATAATCAAATTTAATTTTCTTATTACACCTATTGGTTAAAATTATAATAATAATGGTTCTATCATTAAATTATGAATTATAAATTTATATACATTAAAAACTAAGAGTCTAGCAACTACATTACGGAAACCGCTTCGCTTTGAGTTTTACTAGGTAGATTTTATTATATAGTAAAATATTTATTTTTACTCAATAAAATAACTATACCTACTACTATCAATATAGCTTTTAAAGTTTAATTGAATTTTTAATCTCTTGCCTACGACGTGAAATTTGAAACTTGAAGAGGTTACTTTATATCACAAGTTTCTTACACAAACGAATTAAGTGAAAAGTAAATAAAATAGTACATAAAACATTTCAGTATTTACGTCTATTAACAGTTTATATTTTCCTAAATATTCCTTTTACAATGCATTTTGCATATTTCGTACACCTGAAAATGTACCAAAAACGAAAAATAGTACTCGGTAAAATACTACCCATATTTACAACACTGTGCTTTTATACAAACAGATTGCAACCCTATAAACGTTGTGCAAATTTTGTTTATGAAAAGAAAATAGATGGGTAAAACAAACAGAGAAACAAAGAAAAAATCACGTAAAGTAGAAAGAAAAAAGGAACATGTAAAAAGTTTTCCATTTTCAAAGAAAATTTATTTCAATCATTGACGTTTTCCATGGAAAAAAAGAGTTTGACTGCCTGACTTAATATGTGTGTGAGTTCGTGTGAATGAGTGTGTGTGTGTGTGAAAAAGGTGAACTTTGAAAAACTATTAAATGGAAAAAAGGAAAATGAAGAAAAAGAAAATCGAGTAAAATATTATGCGTAGTAAAATAAATTCCTTATTTTTTGTTAAAAATAGAAAATGAAATTAATAAATAAATGCAACATTTTGGAAAATTAAAAAACATTAAACAGAAAATACAATTATAAAAGAAAAAAATTAATGAAAAGAGACAAATTTTAAGTGAAAAAATAAAAATTAAAAAAATGATTATAAACGAGTACAAAACAAAAAAGAAAAACATTCTCTGAAAAAAAGAAGAAAATTAAAACGAAATAATTAGTTTAAATGAATGTGAATTAAAGAATTACAAGAAAAAAACACGCTACACTTTTTATAATTGAAGAATTTTTGTAACAAGAATTTTTGCAAAAAAAAAAAAAACCCTAAATGCTAGAATTAAACAATTGAACTAATTTTAAATTAAAATTAAACACAACACAAACAACAGCAGCAGTAGCATCAACAGCAGCTTTAAAATATGGATGGCTCTAATAATACAACTGGAGGTTTATCTTCGCGTAGTCTTCCCTCGCTATTTGCAATAAGCAATGGTTCCTCTATGGCTTCTAAAGATCTAGAAGGCTTAATGGCCATGAATGATAGTGCATTGTCACAACAAATCGAATTTATCTTACAAGATGCTCCCATGGAGCACGAAGATGCTGATGATGCCGATGACGACGAAAATGACAATCATCATCAACATCATCATCATCGCCAGCCAACACACAATCAGCAAGTATTATATCAACAACACCAAGTGACCACAAAGTCCTCGTCCGCCAACGAAGTTGGTCATCAACTAATGGAAACAGAAACCAGCAGCAGTTCTCAGGGGGCCATATCATCGACTGCAGCTGCTAAGAAAACAATAGCAGCTGCCATTTATAAATTAGAGACCCCACCGAATTCAACTACACCAATAACAAGCGCTTCCGATTTAAGTCAAACCAGTCAAGACGCTGAACAGTCCATAATCGAAACAAAAATACCAACAGCACAACATCAACATCATACAACTATTGTTCAACAGCAGCAACAACAGCGTCGTCCAACGCATCATCATTTCCTTAATGGTCGTGGTATCATTGTACGCTCTTCAGATTTACACAATTACAATTCGCTGCCCTTGTCAGCGGCAGCCTCAATGGATCATCATTCTTTGGAAACCGAAGACGATGAAGAAGATCCCGAACTAAACGATGAAAACTTGCAAGATATCGAAGAGGAGGCTAAGGCAGCTGAAGCCGACGAGGAACCTCCCCATCTAGAAGCCACACAAATCAAAGTGGAAAATATGGAGGTACAACCCAGTGATAATACTCCAAGATTGGCCTACACTAGTGCTGCCACTACCGTGACCACCACCGATGCCGATGGCCAGCCGACACAATTGGTATTGCCAGCCGGTTCCATTGTCAGCACTGGTACACGCACTGTAACAGTGCCCGTTTCCGAAGCTTTAGCCCATCTTCAAAGACGTCCAGTATTCATTAGCAACGGAGTGGCCAATGTGGGCGGCACCACTTTGGTACGTATGCCCGCTGTTTTGAGTCGTAATGGTTCGATGGCGGTCTTAAATGTGGTACAACAGCAAGTTGGTACCAATGGCCAAACAACACAGCTGATACTGCAGGCTGCCCCCATGGGAAGTAGCGGCACTGCCACTGGAACTCCTATAATGGTAACCACCACCCAGCAGCCACCGCAGCATCAACAGCTAACTAATACTACAACAGATAATACAGGGAATTCATCACCAATTTCAACCATAACACAAACTTCCAATACCCATCAAATACTGACAAATGCTTTAACGACCAATCAACAGGCGCAGCTGCAACAAGCTCATCATCAACAGCAACAACAAACAACTACAATAATGACTCTTAACAGTGGCTCAACAACGACCTCCCCTTCGTCGTCGACGTCGTCTTCAGCAGCTACTGCATCTGCAACAACAAATGCTGCCATATCAACAACAAGATCACCACCTCCCCGATCAACATCCATTTCGACTCATCCTATTGCATCGACTTCAGCCCAAGCTCAGGCAGCTTATACCCGCAATACAGCATCCACCTCGCCACCCTCCTCTTCTTCGTCCGCTTCACCCTCATCCACCTCCATGCCGTCTGGGTCTGGCACAATGGGTGGTGGCGGCGGTGGCACAATCTATCAGTGCTTGGAATGTGTAGAGAAATTCGACAACAAAGAACTCTTCGAAATTCATCGTTCCGGCCATGCCAACAACATGAAATGCGCCATCTGTAATATGGTTTTGAAATCATTGAAAAACTATGAGAAACACTGTCTTCGCTGCAAACCGTACGAATGTCAAATTTGCGGTCGTGTCGTACGTTTTCGTCCCAATTTCATAAAACATATGCGCGTCCACACCGGACAACAGTCCGAACGTCATAAGTACAAGTGCGAAGTGTGTCACAAAGAATTCATGAGTTTCGAATACTTTAAGGTTCACAAAAAGATCCACAATGAAAATGTTAATCTGACGTGTGAAATATGCGGCAAACAATTTAGCGCTTTGGCGTCGTTGAGAGGACATTCTAAATTGCATTCTGGTGTTAAGTTGCACAAGTAAGTGGAAATTCGTTTATTTTTATTTTTTTTAGTTTTAATCTTATTAATCAATAAACTAACTAATACAAAGATAATGACCCCATAACCACAGTTTTTCTCCATACTTAATCTTTTGCTTTTTAATGAATAATTCTTTTTAATGAATGAATTTTTTATTTTTACTTTCTACACAGATGTGAAGTTTGCGGTAAAGGCTTTGGTCAACGTTACAATCTCAAGATACATGCTCGCACACATACTGGTGACTTTCCATTCGAGTGTAAAATCTGTAAAAAGAAATTACACACTCAATCATCGTTGCAAACCCACATGCAAGTTCATCAACGTGTTCAAACGTCACAAGCAACGTCAACCATTAAATCAACAGCCACCAGTACCACAACCAGTGGTAATACAAGTTCCAGTAGCAGTGCCAGCAGTGCTCACAATTCACCCACTTCGACCATCATCAAAATGGAACCACAGTTGACAGAGTCCTCCAGTCCACTGGAAAGACCCAGCACCAGTGGCAATGTATTGCTCAGCCAACACTCCATGCACGATGATCTAGACGATAATTCGGCCATGAGTGATGAACTCAATTCGTTGAATGGCCATCAGTATGTTACAACTAGTTGTGTTAAGAATACAATTGTCTCAGCCACCGGCGATGATTCATCCGAATCATCGAATACTTCACAAGAACAATTGCGACAGACTAGACAAATCTTATTGAACGGAGGCACACCGACACGAGCCATTGTGATTAATAACTATTTGCATAATAATGATAATAAAGGTGTTGACACACTGCTGTCGCAGACATCACAGCCGCAACATCATGCTCAAGTCATACGTCATAATAATAGCAGTAGTAGCAGTCATATAACGAGCAGCAGTAGTAGTGCATTGCAACAACAATTGATGCGTAAAACTCCTATAATACATTCGACTGGTGGTGTAACATCATTAACAAGTTCAGTATTTGCCAGTGCCATTCAACATAGAGGTAAGGGAAATGATTGTTTTTGATTTTTTTTCTTTTTAATGGAAAACGAAAACTTGTCGTAGGCAAATTTAATTGAATTGATGAAACTTTAGAAATGTATTTGGTTTAAATTGATAATTTATCTTTTTTCCTTTGTTTTTAGGCACATCACCATCTCCCTCACCTTCTTCTTCATCAACATCATGTTCCTCTTCAGTTGTGGTCTCTAAATCTGGAGTACCCCTATCATTGGCCTCGGCTGCCCTGGGTTCCTCTTCAATAATACGCAGTACACGAGATCATGATGCCAGTCTCAATGGCCATCATCATCATCACCAACAAAATCACCACAACAATCACCAACGCAATAACCACCGAAATCACCACCGGCGTCGTCATCTGGCCGATATGGATGATGACGATGATGATACGAATTTACATCATCCGAGTGTCAATAACGGCCGTCACTTTGATGACGACGATGATATATTAGATGAGAAATCTTCCCCGTCCCTGGCTACGACAGCCATCAAAACCGAACCGAATTTCTATGTCTCTGGTGATAATTCGAATGAGATGTTGATCAAAGAAGAGGTTGTATTCGATGACAATTCCGCCAATTCGCCCCACTCGCCACCCAGTTCGAAATTTGGCATGTCCAATTTTGACAATGATCTCGACCATCATGTAGATTTGTCTCATTCGTTACCCACGTATGGGTATCTCTTGGACCAACACTCCATACCCGACACAATACCAGCTCAACTGTATGCCGATGATGATGATTTTCGATTAGATCACAATTCACTGGGAGCTTTACACAATAATTCTTCATCGACCAACGATGGTGATTACATTAAGAAAGAGTGGAGCTATGGCACAAGTTCGAATTATACAATAAATGGCAAATTTGATGACGACAGCAATGCTTTATGTGATGCCGCCAATTTCATTTATAATTGATTGGAAGATATACCACCGTCACCGGTATTAGTAGATGGTTGATATCGTTATAACTACAGCAAGAGCAGCAGCAGCAATTTAAAAACGAAAACAAGGTGAAGTTAAATAGTTTATAATTATAATAATCATCATAAATATTGAATCCTGGAATCCCTGTTGTGGCCAGAGAAAAAGAATAATAATTTTTTTTCTTATTTCTTTCGCCCCTTACACAGATTTCTTTTATTAGCGTTAAACAAACAAAAAAAGCATGTGTTTTGTAACGAAACATGTAAAAAAAAACAAATGCCAACAAATTTACTAAGTATTGAAAACAAAACAAACACAAGCACATTATATAAATTATATATAATTTTAATTATTAAACTTAAAAGAACAAACAAAAACATACAAAACCCTTTATGGTTTAAAAACCGCTAACAAAAGGACAACAAATCCAAAAGTTTTTTACTTTTTGAATGTTGTTTAAGTTAAAAGAATTTTACAAAAAAAAATTTAACTCCTCCTCGCATAAAATGAAACAGCAAAAGAACAACAAATTAAACAAGTGAATTTTCTTTTTCATTTACTGAACGCTAAGAAAACGTAACCTAGAACTAGAACTTAAAATAAAACTTTTTCTGGGATTTTGTTCTTCTTTTAACAAAAAACAAGCAAATAAACAAAAAGAGGTTAGTTTTTTTTTTTTTTTAAAAATATGACTGTTTTTGTGTTTAAACTCTTATGATTTTAAACGTAGTTATTTAAGTGATTATTTTTATAAATATATTTTATTTTATTTTTTTTTTTTTAAATATAATTTCGGTATTTATACAATATTAATATAATTATAATGATATATTTAAACAACAAATTTAACTACTATGTGTGTGTCTCTGTGTGTGTAATTAATTGTTTAATTTGATGTTATAATTTTGTAAGTTGTAAACGTCGTAAATGTGAAATTATTTAATTAAATTTTTTTATTAAACAATTTCCCCCCTTTTCCTCTTTTTTTTTCTTTTTCTAAAAAAGCAAAAAAATAACTCTTTTCAACACTGTCTCTTGTCCCCACCTAAACTAATCTCCTGTTGGTTGTTTTTCTCCCCCCCCCAAAAAAAAACAACTTAAAAACCAGCTTTGTTTTTTTTAAATATTTAATATATTTTTTTTAATTTTTTTAATTTGTTTTAATATTAATTTTATAATTTTTCATTTTTTTATAATTTTTTTAAAATTAAATTGTATATATGCAAATGTGTGTATGTAAATGTCATAGATTTTTCTATATAAATATCAACTACTTATATATATTTACAACAAAAACAAAAAAAAATTTTTCTTTTTTCGGTGTCTTAAAAAATTTTAAAACTTGAAAAAGTAAATAAACAAAATGTTGTTGCCCGATGAATGCATGTTAAAATTAAAATTTAATCTTTAAACAAAAAAACATATTTATAAAAAAAATCATATATATATATTTTAGAGTAGTTTAAACTTATTAAAACAAAACAAAAAACGTAGGATTTTATTATAATCATTAATATTAATAGAAAAAAAAAACTTAAAAGGAAAACTTTTTATTTTTTTGGCATTTTACTAAAAAAACAATTCCTTAATATTTATTTATAACTTGCCCTTCTAAGTTTTTTAAATTTTACAAAAAAAAGTATTTTATTTATAATTGAAATTGTATAAATTTTTAACTTCCCAGTGCAATATTTATTTTTTTATTTCATCATTTTTTGAAAATTTTTCTCATATTTAAGTAAAAGTTTTCCTTTATTTTTTTTCAGATTTTAATTTTTTATAATTTTGTTTATATTTCTTATAAAAATTTTTATTTTTATGCAAAAAAAAAAATGTGATTTTCCCAACCCAACGATATTTTCTTCTCTCTTTTTGTTTAACAAGTGCAATCTCATTTTATCTTTAACTTTCTTCATTTTTTTTACTCATCCTCATTTATTATTTTGTTTATTTAGTTTATCATTTTATATCATGTTTGTATGTAGTATTTTGTATTTTATTTAGTATTGAAATAAACTTGTATAGAAATTTTTTTAAAAAATTTATATAAAAATTCTCTCTTTTTTTCTTTTTTCTACTAAAGTGCAACTTTAAAACCCCTATTTTGCTCAATTTCTAAAAGATTTTATATATGATTTCTTTGCTATGGTTTGGTGAGAAAAAAAGACTATAGCCGGCACGATATCTTATACTAAAGTCGATAGTTTTATATTATATAATATAGCGCAGCCTATAATCATGACTGTATCCTCAGTTATACTTAACTATAGTTTAAACTGTAGCCTGAGCCATAGTTTAGGCTTTGCATAGTCAATACTTAAGTCTAAGTTATAGTCAAAACTATAGTGAAAGTCTGAGTTATAGTTAAGCCTATAGTCTAATATATAATTAAAACTATAGTCTTAACTATAGTAAAGACTACAGTCTACACTTTATTCAAATCAAACTATTGTCTAAACTACAGTCAAACCTATATTCTCGACTATAGTTTAGACTACATTTTTGACTATAGTCAATAGTCATTTTGACTATTGTCTAAACTATAGTCAAAACCATAGCCTAACCTTTAGTCAACACTATAGTCTAAATTATAGTCAAGACTATACTAATCTATAGTCAAGACTATTTTCTAAACTATAGCCAAGACTATTGTCTAAACTATAGTCTAAAATATAGTCAAAACTGAAGTATAAACTATAGTCAAGACTATAGTTGAAACCATTGTTAAGACTATAGTCAAACCATAGTCAAGACTATAGTCAAGACAATAACTAAAGTCTAAACTTTAGTTATGACTATAGTCTAAACTATTGTCATGACTATAGTCAAGGCTATTGTCTAAACTATAGTCAAGATTATAGTCTACACTATAGTCAAGACTATTGTCTAAACTACAATCAAGACTATATTCTACACTATAGTCTAACCTAGTGTCAAGACTATATTCAAGGCTATTGTCTAAACTATAGTCAAGACTATAGACTAAACTATATTCAAGACAATAATCTAAACTATAGTCAAGACTATAGTCTAAACTATAGTCAAATCTATAGTCTAAACTATCGTCAACCTATAGGCTAAAGTATTGTCAAGACTATAGTCAAATTATAGTCGACCTATAGTCAAGACTATAGTCTAAACTATAGTAAAGACTTGACTAAAATCTAAACTATAGTCAATATTATAGTCTTATCAATAGTTAAAACTATAATCGACCCTAGAGTCTGAAGTATAGTCAAAACTAAACTGAAGTCAAAAGTATAGCTATAGTATAGTCAAGACTATTATCTTAACTAAAGCTATGACTATCAAATTAGTTTGCGAATCCTTTCCAATAGGTTATAAACATCAAAGAAACCAGCTGAGTGTATTAGTTGTGAACATCTTGATATTTGAGCAATTGTTTAAAGTTTTCAAAATTTTCTTTAACCTTTCATTAGTATTTAATATTGTTTACCTTTTAAATGCCCTTCTAAACTTGCCTCTTGTTTCTCAACAAATGCCACCAACCAAGCTCCCAATATCCAAACTCCACCCTAACCCACTAAAGTGATTGCATTTAATATTTATATCTAATAATAATAAAACAAAATTCCCTCCTCCCTAAAAGTAAAAAAAATCTTGTTAAATAATAAATATAAATAAATAAATGTTTTTAATTTTCTTTTAGCATGGTAGACATAAAAAACATACATATTTATTATTAACAAAACATTATTAATATAATAAAATTATTTGCTAAAACAATAAAAAGCACGTAATTCTTAATTTTTGACGAAAATAAAACAAAAAAATTAGTAGAAAATTTAAACAAAATAAACATTTTAAATTTATAGAGAAAATACAAAGAAAAAAGGATAATAATGATGATAAAAACAATTTTAGTAAAATTTAAACTTTTATCAAAGAAAAAATAAGAAGTTACAAAATATAAAAATTAATTAAAATTACATTACAACAAAAATAATAAGTAGAGTAATAATAACAACAAAGTAGTAGTCAAATATAGCAATTAAGCTTAAAAAAACACAAGTAGTAAAACAAAAAATTAAAAACTATTTTAGTAAAATTTTTAAATTGATTTTTCCAAATTTTCTCATTTAAATTTCTTTTTTTAATTTTATATAAAAGAAATAATTTTAATTTTATTTCATAATGGCGGCTTGAATTGTGTGCAGAAGTTGTTTTTTTGTTAAAAAACTATATTATTTTCAAAACTATTAATAATTATTTAAATATTTTACTTAGAAGCTCTTAAATTTTGGTTAATAATGGTTTAAATTTAATTCTTAAGCTTATTGCCCATTTTCACTCTAAAAACTACGAACTTCTAAAGATTTTCTCTGGGAATGAAAAAATATTTCTTTTTGTTCATCATAAACTTTAGTAATTGCTGGAAATGTAGCTATTGCATAAATTTTTCTTGGACCTAAATTATAAACTTTATAGATATTGATTAATTTTGACTATTTGTGATTAAAACTTGTAAATTCTGTTATAAAATGGATCGATTTTTTAAATTGTTTTTTATCAAAATATTCGCCTTTAGGCTTCAAGGCTTTAAACTAAATTGTAATAATGGTCAACATTGTGGTCTAAACTATAGTCAAGACAGCAGTTTAAACGTTTTTGAAACTTCCCAGATTAAAAAAAAAAAAAACTAAATTGATGTTCATAAATCTAGCATTCCATTCCGATTTGACAAATTTTCAACCGAATTATAACCTTTATTGGGAAATCTTTTTTTTATGTTTTCAAAGTTTCTGATCGTTTTAATACTTTGTTATGATTCTAAGTTAATGAACAAAAAGAAATATATTTCTAATTATAGTCTAAATTATAGTCCAGACTATTGTGCAAAAATAGTAAAGACTACAATTTAAAATTTTGTCAAGACTATAGTCTAAAGTATATATATTCAATAATGTAGTCTAAACAATAGTCTAAATTATAGTCAAGACAATAAACTAGCATAAGAAGTATAAATAAACTATACAACACTATAATCTAATCTATGCCAAACTATAGTCTAAATAATACTCAAGATTATAGTCAAGACCATAAACTATAGTTAAGACTATAGTCTAAACCATACTCAAGATTATGGTGAAGAATAGTCAATACTACAGTCAGAACTAGGTCAACCTTTAGTTTAAATTATAGTCAAGACAATTGTCTAAACTATAGTCAAGACTATACTCTAAACTATGTCAATCAATAGTTTAAACTACAGTTAAGACTAAAGTCTAAACTATAGTCAAGACTACAGTCTAAACTTTAGTCTAAACTATATTCAAGACTATATATAGTATAGTCTAAACTATAGTCCAGACTGTAGTCTAAACTATAGCCAAGAATATAGTTTAAACTATAGTCAAGGCTATATATTGTTAAGACTAAAGTCTAAATTATTGTTAAGACTATAGTATAACTATGGTCAAGAGTATAGTCTAAACTATAATCAAGACTATAGTCTAAACTATAGTCAAGACTATAGCCTAAACTATAGCCAAGACTATAGTCTAAACTATAGTGAAGACTATAGTCAAGAATATAGTCTAAACTATTGTCAAGATCATAGTCTAAACTATAGACAAGACTATATATTATAAACTATAGTCAAGACTGTAGTCTAAACTATAACCAAGACTATTGTCTAAACTTCAAGACTATAGTCTAAACTATAATCAATACTATAGTCTAAACTACAGGCAAGACTATAGTCTAAACTATAGTCAAGACTGTAGTCTAAACTACAGTCTAAACTATAGTCAAGACTATAGTCTAAACTATAGCCAAGATTCCATTCTAAACTCTAGTCTAAACTATAGTCTAAACTACAGTAAAGACTATAGTCTTAACTATAACCAAGACTATAGCCTATACTATAGTATAAACTATAGTCAAGACTATAGTCTAAACTATAGTCAAGACTATAGTCTAAACTATAGTCAAGACTATAGTCTAAACTATAGTCAAGACTATAGTCTAAACTATAGTCAAGACTATAGTCTAAACTATAGCCAAGACGACAGTCTAAACTATAGTCTAAACTATAGGCAAGACTATAGTCTTAACTAT